TATATATATATATATATTTTTAGGATACGAGCCCAAAAGGGAATCACAAAATAGCTACATTTTGAGATGAAGGCAGTGGTGGCTCAGTGATTGACCTAGGCAGCATGACCTCAACCTAAAACAAAGGCTTTTTCCAGCCTTTTACCACATTCCAGGAAGAAGGTAAGATAATGGTTTTCATGACCCAAAGCTTCCAGACAAAGAATCTCCTGACCTTGTTACCCACTTCAAAATTAGGAGAATAATTGGATCCACCCAGCACGTGCTCCTCCCTACCAGGAAAGGAATTCATACACAAGTCCCACCTGGAACCTAAGTCTGGAAAAAACCTTTCCTTACTGAAATAAAAACCACTTGCCACAGTTCTTCCTTAGCAACCCACTTTCGGGGACCCCTCCTTTCTTAGGAGCTCTGTTTTTGCTTCCCCCTCCTTTAATAAACGCCTCACTTTGTTAATAAATTCCCCATTTTGCTAATAATCTCCCCGCTTTGCTATACCTAAAAAAAAAAGTAAATAAAAATAAATAATAAAAAGAAGTAAGTGTAAAAGAATAAAATAACTTCCTTTAGAAAAAAAAGCCTGAGATTGAGGCCAGCAAGTGACATGGTGGTTAAGGGCGCTGGACTCCCACATGGCCAACTGCGGTTCGAGACTCAGACCTGATGAATTGCTTTCTCACTTTCTCTCTCTTTCTCTCTCTCTCTCTCGCTCTGTATCTCTCTGGTCAAAATTAAAATAAATAAGTCAATAAATAAAGTTAAATAAAATAATTCTAAAAAATAGTCAGATCTATCAAGAATCACACTAACTTACAGAGGTATAAGTATATATATGATATATTTTTTAAATGTTTTAAAAGTAGGCATTAGTGTAATGTTATCATGATTATTAGCTTATTAACCAATACATTAGTTTGTAAAAATACAACTTTTATTATGCTCCAGCGATCACACTACAGGAAAATATCCAAAGGAAAGTACATCAATAGGTCATAAGATATCTGCACCCTAATGTTTACTGCAGCGCTATGCACAGAGGCAAAAATATGGAGGCAATCTAAATGTCCATCAGCTGATGAACAGATAAAAAAATGCAATGTGCATATATATTGAGCCAGCTCCACAGCAATGTTTAAATACAGTGCTTCAGTAGCCAGATCCCATATACCCAATCATGGTTCAGATTCAGGTCCCAGCAGCTTAAAAAACATGACAGATTAATGAGCATGGGTGCCTAAAATCCTGACAGAATGGAGAAATAGAGGGAAAAGGATTGCAATGTGATGAAACCCCATTTAAAGGAGCTTGTTCTCATTCTCTCTCTCCTCTCTCTCTCTCTCTCTCTCTCTCTCTCTCTCTCTCTCTCTCTTTCTCTCTTTCAATTTCTCTCTCTCCTTCTGTCTCTGGAGAGTACATAAACACCTGGTATTTAAAGAAATAATTTGTTTTAAGGAACTGTGGTAAGGGACCACCAGATGGTGTAATGGTAACATCGTTGTACTCCAATGTAGTCAGCTGCAGTTCGAGACCCAAATCCAGCAGTTTAAAACATATCAGACATGTGTGCATGTATCCTCAAAATCCCAAGAGGAAAATAGAGGAGATGGGATTTTGACATGACCATCCCCCCCCAGAGGGGGGTGATTTCTCACTTTCTCTCTCTCTTTCTCTCTCTCTCTCTCTCTCTCTCTCTCTCGTGCACATGCCCTATCACAAAAAAAATCTCTCTCTAAAAAAAGTGATATGTATACAATACAATACAATATGTGTTAAGCCACTAAAAAGGATGAAAATTTATTATTTGGTGTTAAATGAGTTAACCTGGAGGACTAAAGCAGGCACAGAAAGAAACACTACATATTCTTTCTCATATATGGAAACTGGAAAAATGACCTTGAAGAGGTAGAGGGATCAAGAATGATTGCTACAGATCAGGGAGGATAGAAAGGGAGGGAAATAGAGGGGTGTTGATTAAAGGAAATAAAATTACACATAGATAGAACAATTACTAATGTTATAAATTAGTGGGGAAAATATGAATGGCAACACATATCTATATAATTATAGATATTTTTAAGTATATAGCTTAATTTCTTTATAGATCATAAAGAGTTTGTCTCAGGCTAATATAATCTTCATGTCCCATATGTCCTAAAGTGGGTCTCAATAACTCCAGCTGTTCAATCACAGAAATTATGATCCATTAACTAAAGCAGATTGATTAAAGCAGTAATATTCATTCCTAAAAATCTTTGAACCTTACTTACTTACTTAAAGTAACTGCCAGATCTTGGTAGCAATAAAAACAATGATGAAGAATACAATTAGAGTGTTCATTAGAGCTGAAAAGCAATATAGATGGATTTTTTTTCTTCTTTCTTCTTTTTTTCTTTCTTTCTTTTTTGTTTTTTTATTTATTTTTTTTTTTTGGAGAGGTTTATGCTATAGGGCACGTGCACTCGCCAGAAAGACTAGAAACAGAGAGACAGAGAGACAGAGAGACAGAAAGCAAAAATATCACCCACTGGGGGGGATGGCCATGCCACAATCCCTTCTCCGTTCTCCTCTCCAGATCTTGGACATGCATGCACATGCACCCAGCGTGAGTTTAAGCCACCAGGTTCGGGACTCGAACCGCGGTCAACTACATGAGAGTTCAGCAACATAGCCACTACGCTAATGGTGGTCCTTATAGATATATGTTTTTAGTAAATGACATTAATAAAAGCCATTAATGAGATCCTGAATAAATAATGATATACTTGCACACCTATAAATAACTACAATTCAGGAAGAAATTTCTTATCTGGTTGCAAATACAAAATAAAGTGAAAAAAACAAATAATCATATGAAAGTGTTCATAATAAAAGAGTAATAACTTCACTAGTGTCACTTCTGGTATCATTGAAATCAGAAGTAGAAAGACAATACCAGGCCAGAGGTATAATTTTTTTAAGGGAGAACTTACAAATACAAATAAATAAGTGGCTTTAGACTTTCTAAAAAAAAATTAATCTAAAAACAAGAGGACCTGAATCTCATCTAAGATCTATTATCTAATATCTACCTGAGCATTATCACCTATTAAAAAAAATAGATTGAAATAAAAGAGCTTTCAAATTTCAGGGGGGTTTTTTTCTGGTTTTTTTGTTTGTTTGTTTGGTTGGGTTTTTTGAGAGGTTTTTGCTATAGGGCGCGTGCGCTCGCCACACAGACAGAGAGAGACAGAGAAACAGAAAGCGAGAAATCACCCCCCAGGGGTATGGCCACACCGCAATCCCTTCTCCTCCATTCTCTTCTTGGGATCTTGGGCACACACGCACACGCACCCAGCGTGAGTTTTAAGCCACCGGGTCCGGGAGGCAAACCGCGGTCGACTACATGGGAGTCCAGCAACATAGCCATTACGCTAACTGCTGGTCCTTCAAATTTCAGTTCTAAAATTCCATGCTTCTATTACACAATTCACAGTTCTCTATTACACAAAGGTTATTAGAAAGCGAGCAGATACTAAACTAAGGGAGAAAAAACAAACCAGTTGGGTAATATGATAATTTGGTAATGAGTTTGACAGCAGACTATTAACCAATTCAAAATAGAAAAATTATAAAACTGAAGGAAAATAATAAGCTAATTCCAACATTGCATTGTTCAACATGATCTCTCTTTGACAACTTTTAAAGGATAAAATTATTGTAAGTGGTACATTAAGGTGAAAAATCAGTAGGATTTGAAATAGTTTTGCCTGGTAATTTATAAGGAGACTGAGAATAAGAAGACTGAAAAGAAAGCATTTATTAATTTACTTAAAAATTCACTAGGGAACAGCAGTTAGCGTAATGGCTATGTCCCTGGACTCCCACGTAGTCGACCACGGTTTGAGTCCTGGACCCAGTGGCTTAAACTCATGCCGGGTGCATGTGTGTGTGTGCCCAAGATCCCGAGAGGAGAATGGAGGAGAAGGGATTGCGGCGTGACCATCCCCCGTGGGGGGTGATTTCCTGCTTTCTGTCTCTCTGTCTCTCTCTGTCTGGTGAGCGCACGTGCCCTATTGCAAAAACTTCTCCAAAAAAAAAATTTCACTAAAAAAATACTGCCTGGTTACCAAGAATATTAGATAATTTATTAAACATCTAGTACATGATCTGATGTTAGCTTTCTTTATCTCTATTGATTAGAGTACTTGTGATACACAAGAACATGGTAAATGCCTAAGTGTAACCAAGAACACAAAACTAACATGGATCTAAAATTTCAATGACTTTATTTTTTCCATAGTCATTGAGTTTGGAGCTACATTCTTATTTATTTCCAGAGCATTTAGGAAATCATCCTGTAACTCACAAGCTGATGGCAAACTTTTTTCATCGCTGTCTTCATCTCCTTGTTTCTGAATGTATAGATGACAGCATTCAGAAAAGGAGTGATAACTGCATCAAAAACAGCAAGAAATTTGTCAAAGTGTGATGAGAGGAAGGGCCAGACGTAGGCGAAAATTAATGGCCCAAAGAATAGAACCACCACAGTGACGTGAGCTGACAAAGTAGAGAGGGCCTTAGATAAACCACCTGAAGAGTGTTTCCGGACAGTGACCAGAATGAAGATGTAGGAAATGATCAGCGTGAAGAAGGAGCCCACAGAGATGAGTCCACTGTTGGCTATCACCATGAACTCCAGTCTGTTGGTCTCTGTGCATGCAAGTTTAATGAGCTGAGGGAGATCACAATAAAAGCTGTCCAATACATTAGGACCACAGAAGGGTAAGCCTACAACAAAAGCCAATTGGGCCACTGAGTGGATGAGGCCAAGGATCCAGGCTGTAGTCATAAGTAAAAGGCACATCCGTGGACTCATGATGGTCAAGTAGTGGAGAGGCTTACATATGGCCACATATCTGTCAAAGGCCATGGCTATGAGTAGCACCATTTCTGTGCCCCCAATAGCATGAATAAAGAAGATCTGAGTAATACAACCCCCAAAAGAAATGGTTTTGCGTTTTTGAAAGAGATCATAGAGCATTTTGGGGGTTGCAATAGAGCAACCTCCCAGGTCAAGAAAAGACAGATTGGCCAGCAGGAAGTACATGGGAGAGTGTAAGTTAGAGTCAGAGGCCACAGAGAACACTATGAGGAGGTTTCCCATGAGGCTTGCCATGTAGAAGACAGAGGAAAAGAAGAAAAGAAACAGCTGAATCTCCCATGAATTGGACAGTCCTAGGAACACAAACTCAGAGACCACAGAGTGATTGGCTTCATCCATTGCCACTGTAGCAGAGCTGACTCTAACGCTACCTGAAAAAGAGAGTAAAAGAAAAATCAAACTTGGTGGGGGATGGCAGATCGTGTCACCTGCTACATGAGTTTCAAATTGTAGAGAGAAAATATTGCCTTTCCCACAGAGCCAAGCACTTCTATACAATCTCTTAAACTGTGGACACAGAGAGTGAGCAGTAACTCATTGCCACAAAGCACTGCTTCTAGGTCAGGGTTCCTAAAATTCTGTAGATGTTAATAAGAGAAGACTAAGCAAAAACAAATGCCAAAGGACTAGTGGATGGTGTAATGGTTACGTCGTTGGACTCCCACATACTTGACTGCAGTTCAAGTCCCAAACCCAGTGGCTTAAAACTCACATCAGGGGCATGTGCCTGCATGCCCAAAATCCAGAGAGGAGAATGGAGAAGGGATTGTGGTGTGGCCATCCCCCATGGGTGGTGATTTCTTGCTTTCTGTCTGTCTGTCTGTCTCTTGTCTCTCCAGTGAGCACACATGCCCTATAGGAAAAATCTCTCTAAAAAATTTTTAAAATTATAAAAATTAAATAAATAAATAATAAAAATGCAAGGTTACAAAAAGTATTGTAAGTGAATGAGAAATGCCTTGGATTGACCTGACGGGGAAAAAAAGAGAGGAAATGGAAATGAACTCATTGACTTCTCCCTCACAGTTTATTACTCCTGCCCACAGATACCCCAAATGTCAAACAATCGTTGATCTTTCTTTTCTTTTCTTTTTCATTGCTTCCATGTGCAGGGCTATCACTCTCATGAATTCTCTCTCATTTAGCTTCATGCTATTGCCTTTTTATCATGTCATATGTACCTTCTCATAACCAAAGAAGATACTGTAAAAACCCTAAAAGTCTCTCACTTTTTGTAGCTCAGCCCCATGAACAGAAGTGATCACTAAGCCTGCCCTGTCACAAAATTATGCAGAGTATGGACAAGGACAGAAAAGAGATTCTGCAGAATCTAAACTTGTCAAAATGACTAAAATGTAGCAAACAAAAATATATGTGATTGATGTATTGAGATGATTGTTTGTTGTCATGTTAACCTTGCATGGTTAACATTGCGCTTGGAATTGAGAGATTGTGGTCAAGTCCTAACTCTGTATGACCTTACGTATTTGAATAAGTTCTTTTCCCTAACTATCTCCTCTACATTCAACTGACTCCTGGAACTTATTTTCACCTATAAAATAAAGGGGCTGAGGTGAGTGATGCTAAATGCCCCCTGCATGCCTAACATATCTGTGAGTTTATAATACAGTGCTAGCCCAAATAGTATTCTCTGCATTGGACTGCCAATATATCCACTGTGATTTTCCTCGTTTGCAATTAGTTCTAAGTCCCATATCTTATAGCAGGCCTTTTCTTCACTTATTCTCCCTCTGCTCTAATCCCTTTTGTGACACACAGCATATTACTTTAAATGTGCTATATTGTTTATTTTGCTTTTTATCATAACCATCTGTTATCAATCAACATTCACTAGATGCCTACCACATTCTATAGATATCAGGTACTTTTTGAAGTATTAAATGGGATTTTATAATTTAGCATCCTCAAAAAAATGTAAATAATAAAAAATGTACTGTGTGAAAAATGTCAATGATGCGGTATGATCATGGGATTTTTGCAGCTGAAAAGATACCCAGAGTCAGGGCGATCAGGCTGTCTTCAGTAAGAAATAGCAACCTACTCTGCACTTTACAAGAGGAATCTGATTTCAACCCACAGCATCCTGTCTGAGCTTAAAGAATTGCTGGGACACTGTCAGGGAATACATCCCAGTCTGGATCAGTGACTGATAAGCCATCTACAGAAATAATGATACAAACCAAAAAGAAAGCAAAAGCAGTGACTACCTCGTATGAGACACCACAACTACTCTCTTACATACACTATCTTGTTTTATATTTACAAAAACTGAAATTTGGCATAATTGACTCCTGGTTTACAGTTTGGGAAATTAAGACCAAAGAAAGAAAGAAACAAGTTAGAGCAGTAAGTGGTAGGAATGATATTGACACCCTGTTCTCCCTCTCCCAGTATATATATAGAGGACTTTTTAATTGTATAGTATAACTTAGTCCCTTTTAGGGTGCTCTATGTTCTACTTTCAACACCCTAGAAAGATCCATGTGAGAAAGAAGGAAGCAGCTTTGCCATCACAAACATCTAGATTTCTTTTATTTTAATAAATATCCTTAGTGCTATTTTTTTATTGTCAGAGGGTGTGTGTGCAACATGGGGGTGGGGGAGAAGAGAGAGAGAGATGGAGAGAAAATTCACCCACCAATGGGGCATGGTCATGCTGCAATCCTTTTTCCTCCATTTATCCATCCTATCAGAATCCAGGGTACACAAGCATGCCTAACGTATGTTTCAAGTCACAGGAGCCAAGATTCACACTGCAGTAGACCATGTGGGATCCGGTTTCTTATGCATAGCACTTAAGTACTGCACTACAAGCTGACCCAAACTTGAGTTTTTTAAGCTACTTCAAATGCTTACAATCATGATTCATTCTGGCTTTTTAAATAAACTTAGTAGGAGAAAGCAAATTTGTATACCTGCAGCTCAGAACAACCAGGATGAGTTTGCAGACTGCCATCCTCTTGATCCACATGAAACACTTTAGCTTCTCAAGAAGAAACTCTGTTCACACTGCTCTCTAATGAATGTAGAAAGCAAAGGTTTACAGTCTCCATGGCAATAAATGATGTAGAGCCCAGAACTAAAGCAAGGCAGAACCTGTTTCCACTTACAAGACCACCTCCTAATCATTTCAATTCCGTTTTGGATATTAATCTTAGATAAAAATGGAGCAAAGATAAGAAAAATAATTTCAGTTTCTGATTTCATGTTCTTTTCCTTCTTATTTGTATTGGATTTTTACTCATTAACCTTGATGAAACTATTTCCTTGTGCAAGACAACATTTCATTGATTTCTATACAATCATACTCTTACCAGAAACATCTATTTAATACTGACTCTAGGGTATTTCAACATTGTACAATATCCCTGAGCTATTTCTATACTTGTCACCCATTTAGTCATTTTAAGACCAAAGGTATCGACAGTTTCCAAGGACTTTATCACATTTAACCTGGCTAAAATTAGCATTACTTCATACACAGAGAGATATAACGTTGCTATTATTGTAGAAGATATGGTTAATTGGCACATGGGGGATTACGAACAAAACAAATACTATAGAGACTTGGGATCACCAATACGAGTTCATTTATCCAAGGGAATTGTCACCCAGAATCCTAGCAAGCCAACAGAGGAAGCCATAAATGAGTCACAAAATAGGGAGAGAGATTTTTTTAAAACTGTAAAAACATAAAAGGTATATAGTATATAAATAAGGTAGACTTAGGTAACATCTTACTCTCAAGTCTAAAACAGGGACTATTTGTCCAGCTAACCACTGGAAACCATTAGGTAGACTAGAGCCCACAAAGCACTTCTCTTTAAGTACACAAAAAAGACTAGATACGTGACCATATATGCAGGGTCTTCAAAGAGTTCAGGGAAAAAAATATAGTATGAAAAAATTGTTCATGAATTTCAAAATTTTTGAGCCAAAATAACTCAAAATTGAATTCCATATGTCTACAAACATTTTGAGGTTTTCTAATATTAATTCATAATAATTCTGGAAAATGGAAATACAACATTCTCTAATTGAGGTAGAAGACAAGGACCCTAAAAATATAATTAGAGTATAGGTCCAAAATGGAATCACAAAATGGCTAAGTTTTAAGATGGAGGCATAACAGCTCAGCAACATATCAGCTCTCACTGAACTGTTTACTCACAAGAAACAGCTTGCAGCAGTGACTTAATGATTGACCTTTAGGTCAAAAAAGATAATGGTCTTTTATGGTCCAAATCTTTCAGACAAAGAGTCTCATGACTTGTGTACCCACTCCAAAATTAGGAGATGAATAACCAGACCCATCCAGCATGTTACCACCACCACGAGAGAACACATGCACAAGCCCTTGCTGAGAACAAGCCCAAATAAAGTCCCTCTGACCAAGATTTTAAATAAGCTCTCCCTTTAGTTCTTCTTCAGCAAACCATTTTCCAAAACCCCTCCCTGCTTGGGAGTTCTGTTCTTCCTTCCTTTCTTTAATAAACACTACTTGGCTATTTCTTCTCATGTCCATGTCTCTAATTCTTTATGAGCATGAGACAAAGAACCAGGTTTGCTGCTGTTCATGCATTGGATATTGGACCCATACACCCCAATATCCAGCATCATAATCACAGTCTAAGAAAATTTAGATTTAATAATGTCAGGCCAGTTACTATAGTACAGTAGTGATACAACACTTTGCAAAGCTGAACCCATATTAGAGAGTCCTAATTCACCTCCCAAGCTCTTCCTGTACATGTGAAATGCATGCACAAATGACAGTGATCTGGGATGACTGAAGCTGGGAGTGGATCATGGCAATGGGGATTTTACAGGAGATAGCTGTGTCTCTCTTTTTCTCTTTATCCCCACAAAAAAAAAAAAAAAAAGGAAAAGGAAGAAGAAAATAAGAAGGAACACAAACAATTCTCCTATAACCTGTAAGTATAGAAAACATTTTTAACTGTAGCTCAAAATCCAGGCGTGCAGAAAGATAGCTAAACGAGATAAAATAATAAGACACCTGGGACCAGCAGATGATATAGCAGTTAAGTCACTGGACTACCACATGTCTGATCACTGTTTGAGTCCTAGACCCAGTAGATTCAAAATCCCACCAGGTACATGTATGTGCTGTGCCCAAGACCCCAAGAGGAGTATGGAGGAGAAAGGATTGTGGTATGGCCATCCTCACTGTGAGGTGCTTTCTCACCTTGCCTCTCAATGTTTCTGTCGCTTTCTCCTTCTGGCAAGCACACATGACCTAAGCCAAAAACCTCTCAAATAAATAACAAAACAGGACAAAACACCTAAAAAAATTTTTT